TTAGAAGTAATTGTCGAATGTATTTTGTCAAACAGAATACTATACAGACTGTTTATAGAGTATTATAAATTTTCTTTATTTACAAACTCACACTATAAATACTTGTTGTTTTGAAGATTACATTTTGGAATTAGGTATAAAATACGTATTTTGGGCAAAACCTAGCTATTTCTAGGGCCTATGAAATTTCATTTGTTTTGTGTTTTTACTGGACGTTTTTCAGTTCTACTTTGTATGAGAGATTATGCTTGGTTCAGAGATGCTGAAACTGAATAAACTGGGCTTAGTCTTTGACATTATGGAAATCATTTTATGTTTGTGACAAATGAACTTCAACTAGTCTTTAGTCTTTTTTTTTTTTCCCCTAATAGCAGTTTTTCTTTTGCCTAGGGAAAGTCTATACAATGTGCTCTTTAAAATTTCCTACAGATTATCCATATTTCTTCCCAAATTTGAGGCCAGCCTGGGCAACTTAGGGAGACCCTGTCTCAAAATAAAGCATATAAAGGCCTGGGGGGTGTTTTACACACTAGTACCTTTTTGGTTGACTTTCTAATATCCGAATCCAGATTTTCTGATGCCTAATGGGTGATTTTTAACCAAAAGTATTGTAACTAGAGCTCATGGACCCCCTCAGGCAGTAGTCTCAAATTTTAGTGTGCAAAAAAACTCACTTGGGAAGTTAACTTAAAAGGAATATTTGTGGGGCTGATTGCACAGAGATGCTGATTCATGAGATCTGGAGGTGATCCTAGGATTTGCGTTTTTAGTAATCCAGGAGATCCTGGACTTTACTGTCCTTTGAGAGCATTGGTGGATTTTTAGAAAGTTAGGTTTTAGCCCTCAAACTGTGCCTACATGGAGATTTTCCAATAAGTGGATTTAGGAGACTTTTCATTAATTTCTTTAAAGGGTCTGCAAAAAACACCATGATGATATTAGGAGCAGCAGTTTACAAGTGAAAGAGAATACTAGTAAAATGAGTCACACAACCAGCCTCAAGAATCCACATGGGAAAGTCTAAAAATGAAAAGAAAAACAGATATAAATACTCAGGTTGCACAGTGATCATCTGAACAATTGTTTTTAAGAAAATCTCACAAATGAATAGGTGTGTTGGGAAACTGGGGTTCATGGGTGGAAAATTTGAGAAACATTGTTCTATTTTTTTTTACTTTATTATAGAAGCAAACAGAAACTTTAATATGCTAATTTGCATTATGAACCACCTTAATACAATGTAGTATGTAGGATTTCCCAAGCTTATTTGATCATATAACATTTTTCAAATGGTTATCAGTTTGAAAATACCCTTTAACAGAGGAACAAACATTAGTCTCTGTATGCAACATAGAAGTAACTTTCATCATAAGCCTGTTGTGAAGTAAAATTTAAAATGTTCTCTAAATAATCTGAAAACTAGGAAGGCAGAGAAATTTGGACTGCATTTTAGAAAATTTTAAATTAAACTTATGGAAGAAAAAAATTATTTAGTTATTATTTACATAGACTTACTTATTGCTAGTTGATGGTAAACTAAAGGAAGTCTTGCCCTAAAATGGAAATTTTTTCTTTATAATATTATTAAGATTTAGGTGAAATTTATATTTCCTAAGAATCAGAGATCTGGGGTTATAGCTCAGTAGTAGAGTTCTTGCCTAGTACACGTGAGGCACTAGGTTCAATCCTCAGCATCATATAAAAATAAATAAAATAAAGGTGTTCATCTACAACTAAAAAAAAATTAGAGCTCATTATACAATAATCAATAGTCGTCAGTCATTATTTCAGATAGTTTATAGCAATCATTGGTGGCAGGCCAAAGATTGTGTGTATAAACATGTATGTCCAAGTCTTCTTGAAAGCAAAGCAGTTCCATAGTTATTTAAATAAATAATTTAATGAATGAATAAATAAAGATCAGATTGACATAGATGAAGAAAGAGGCTCTCTGGATCAATTGATTATATCCAGATGAAGTTTTCTGGAGAGGTGATCTGGAGGAGAGGAACAAACAGAAATCATATTCAAAGAAAAGGAAAAGAGATTACTTTAAAGAAAGGAAATTTCTGCTGGGAGAAATCCTTTCCTAATTTAGCTAGCAGTGAAGAATCTCAGGGACAGAAAACTAGATATGTTTCCGTACATAGAAATCATGAACTAAGTGTGATGATTAGGACACTAGTCCTGTGAGATAACAGTGAGGGAAATAAGTCAAATAAGTTTGGGAAATGCAATTCCATCCTTTGTGTTTAATTTTGCTTTAATTGGCCTTTCACAAAATGAATTTATCACAGAAGTATTTTCCCCATAAATTAAGAACCCTCACAATACTCTTGGGAGAACACTGAGCTAATAATGATAGGAAATAAGGACTACTAATTAATGGGGCTCCACCATAATCATTGCTTCTTTGGGACAAAAATGATTAGATTTAGGTCATACATATTATTCTGTCCTCTTTCATTATTAAGTTTTAAAGATTTGTTGAATTAAAATGGATTTGCTTTTCAATATTGTGATTTGTCTGAAATAAGGTCTAACTCTGGATCATAAACATAACACCTCTTCATGTAGAATCCTTAATTCCTACATAATTTTAAACAAGTGCTTTGTTTGTTTGTTTGTTTGTTTTTTGTGGTGCCAGGGATTGAACCCAGGGCTTTCTGCATGTAAGGCAAGCACTCAACCAACTGAGTTATATCCTCAGACCCCAGGTTGTAGTGTTTTGACTGTTAAAGATTTTTCTTGGGGTGTTTCTTTGCTTATGCTGTAAATATTTATAATTATTCCAATTTAGAATTCAACCAAATAAAGCCTTGTTAAATATGGTTAATTTTTGTTCACACCATTGAATGGCCTTTCCTGATTGGGAAAGATTCTTAACATCTTTGAAAATTTGTTTCAAAAATATATTAAATTCAAAAGGAACTTTACAATTTAGAAGGTTAAACTAGCCTCTTATTTCCATGATTAAAGATTAAAAGAAATCAAATTAGCCAAATGCAAATCAAGCAATGACTAAATAGAACATGATTTATGTATGTTTTTCTTTTTCTTTTTTGACACATGATATGTCTGGCAAAATTTTAGTTATGTATGCTCCTTGTATATCTTCTGAACTCTGGAATTCTTAAAGAATGCTAAATGTAATTAGGGCTATTTAGAGGTAGGTTTTAATGTATATGGGACTGAGGTCAATGTAGAGATGAAATGGAGTTTTTGTAGGTATTTGTAGATTTCAAAAAAATTTTTTTTTGTATTTTTTAAGAACAAAACTAAATTCCACAGTTGAAGTTAGTAGATATCTTTCTCATGTACATGCAAAGACATCATGACATTTTTTTTGTTCTCTGTGAAAGACCATAATATGACTATAAGTTTGATGCCAATATTTTAAAGATTGACTGAAGTGAAGTGGATTATCTATAAAATATTATCTATAAAATATTTCTGGAAACTTCTAAATCCATGTGAGGAAAGTAATCTTTTTTGTTTTTTGATTTGTAACCACCAGACTGACTCCTACATAATTTCTGAAGAGCATTCTTTAATATTTTCTCTTCAAAAACACTTAATGATTACTTCATAAGCGTTTACAGATTTTTCCAATTTATAATTTTTCCTCAAGATAATCCTTAAATATATATTTTAAGAAACAGCTTTAAGGGACTGGAGTTGTAGCTCAGTGGTAGAGCACTTACCTGTATATGTGAAGCACTGGGTTCAATTCTCAGCACCACATGTAAATAAATAAATAAGGGTCCATCAACAACTAAAAAATATTTTAAAAAAGAAGTGGCATTAATAAGGGATTCTTTAAATCCCTGAGAACATGATCAAAAGTGTCATGTGATGATGTCAACCTAAAATGAAAACAAATTTATCTTGAGGGATGTAATAAATGAACTGTTTCCAAACTCTTAGAGTATAAGGTGTTCTCTATAATAATAAAGTGGTAGTAAGACTTGACTAGTAACATAATTATAAAAAGAAAAATCAATCTTCATTTATTTTTAGTTATATTGTTCTTAGGCAAGCAAGAGATACCACAATTATTTAGACAAGTGTTATTTTTAAACATGATTTCATGAACTATATAGTCTATATTCTCTTGCTGAATTAGTTTATTTCTTTTTAATGATATAGAAATAACATGTATAAGATCTTGAAGAGTGATATATCCTCATCTGGTCTTTTTTTAAAGCTTTTATTTTAATTTCAGACTTACAAAAGAAGTTGCCAGAATAATATGAAGAATTCCAAAATTTCTTTCATATTCATATTTATCAAATGTTAATATTTTGCAGTTTATCACAATTCTACATTTCTTTTCTCTTCTCAAAACTTTTTTTTCTGAAGTGAGAGTAAGTTACCAAGGTTATTAAAGAGTATTCTCTTTCATAATAGTACAGTTGGTTAAATCAGAATATTAACAGTCATGCAATAATAGCATTGGATTATAGATTTGCTCAAAATTCACCAAATAACCCCAATAATGTCATTTACTGCAAACTAAAATGTTGATCATGTATTGAATTTAGTTTTCATATCTTTTTAGGCTTATTTAGACTAGAATATTTCATAGTCTTTTTGTTTCCTGACCCTACACTCCAAAAGAACGTATCTGCTATTTCGTAGAATGTCCCTCAATTTGAGTTTGTCTGATGTTTCTGCATGATTATATTCAAGTTGTGCTAGACTTTAAAAACATAAGATTGTATAAGATTTCAGAACAACAAATCACATCCCTATTTATAACTCTAAGAATGAACCTAATTAATTAATTGCCATATCTGCATCAAGCAGAATATTTATGTCCAACTTCCAAGAAAAAGGACTTTCCTAAGAGATTTTCTGTGTTTTCTTAATGAACAAATTTGTTTCACTTATGGAGTGTCTTGTTAGTTTGGATGGTTTATAATGCCATATAGATTGTTCTAATATTTACTGAGAAAACAAACAAAATGTTTAACAGTATTGATCTTCTCTTCATACAGTTACACCTGAATGCCCACGGACAGGAAGAAACATTTTCCTTTCCTTTGATGAACTCAGATTTTTATCACAAGTCATAAAATCTTTTTTGAAGCTGGAAAATGATGTTCAAGAGCTGTTTGAAGAAATGTTTTTATTGCTTAAGATGCCCAGGAATACTTCAGGTAATATATTGTTTTGTTTAAATGTTTAAATCTACAATTTCTCTCTGTTTTTGCTTCCTGCCACTTTGAATCTGTACCATTACTTGGAAAAAATACACGGTAAAATTCTTGAGATAAACATTCAGTATAGTGCACACCATGGATTTTATTTTTATCTTTTGTACTTGGCAGATTCCTTAGTTCAAATTAGCAAAGTTGAGTCTGGATAATTGTCTACAGTTAAAATCAGATTGATTTTTTTCCCCAAAAATACACAGCCTGGTCTATGGAAAAATAAGCATACTGGGTAATGTAGTGTCTCCTTTTCTGCCACTAGCAGCCAGATGATCTTTTTTTAAAAAAATTCTTTTTGTAATTTTAGATGGACAGCATGCTTTATTTTGTTTTTCTTCCCCCAATTTTATTCACTTATTCCACTTTCAGCATTCATAATTTCTTTGTGTAGGTCCAAATTTCAGTTTGATATAATACATTTTTTGTCTAAAGAATATCTTTTCACATTGCTAGTAGACAAGTATGCTTAATTATATATTTTTAGTGTTTATGAAATCCATTATTTCTTTATTTTTTATTTTAATTTGTTATATATGACAGAAGAATGTATTATAATTCATATTACATATATAGAGCACAATTTTTCATATCTCTGATTGGACACAATGTAGTATCACACCATTCGTGTCTTCATATATGTACTTAGGGTAATGATGTACATCTCATTTCACCATCTCTCCTAACCTCATGCTCTCTCCCTTCCCCTCCTTCCCCTTTGCCCTATCTAGAGTTCACTTAATCCTCCCATCTCCCCTTTCCCCCCACAGCATATTATGGATTAGCATCCTTAAATCTGAGAAATCATTTGGCATTTGGTTTTTTGGGATTGGCTAATTTCACTTAGCATTATAGTCTCAGCTTCATCCATTTACCTGCAAATGCCATGATTTTATTCTCTTTTAATTCTGAATAATATTCCATTATGTATATATACCACATTTTCTTTATCCATTCATCTAATGAAGGGCATCTAGGTTGGTTCCACAATTTAGCTATTGTGAATTGTGCTGAAATAAACATTGATGTGGCTGTGTCCCTGTAGTATGCTGCTTTTAAATCCTTTGTGTATAGGCTGAGGAGCAGGATAGCTGGGTCAAATGGTTGTTCCATTTCCACTTTTCCAAGGGTTCTCCGAACTGCTTTCCATATTGGCTGCATGAATTTGTGGTCCTACCAGCAATGTATGAGTGTGCCTTTTTCCCCACATCCTCACCAACACTTATTGTTGTTTGTATTCTTAATAGCTGCCATTCTGACTGAAGTGAGATGAAATCTTAGAGTAGTTTTGATTTGCATTTCTCCAATTGCTAGAGATGTTGAACATTTTTTCATATATTTGTTGTTGATTTGTGTATCATCTTCTGAGAAGTGTCTGTTCAATTCCTTGGCCCATTTATTGATTGGGTTATTAGTTTTTTCTTATGTTAAGATTTTTGAGTTCTTTATATATTCTCAAGATTAGTGCTCTGATGTGTGTGTGGTAAAAATTTGCTCCCAAAATGTAGGCTATCTTTTTACCTCACTGATTGTTTCTTTTGCTGAGAAGAGCCTTTTTAGTTTGAATCCATCCCATTTGTTTATTTTTATGTGGTGCTAAGGATCAGACCCAGAGACTCACACATGCTAGGCAAGCACTCTGTCACTGAGCTACAGCCCCAGCCCAGCCAGATGATCTTGAGTCAAACGTTTAGTCTCTTTGACCTCAGTTTTCTCATTTTCAAAATAATCATGGAGGAGTACCTTTAGTTTCTATTAGAATTTTCATTCTCTTTTAGAATTAGACGCTTCAGATTCCAAAATGTTGTGAGGATTAAATGATTTAGTGAATGAAGTACTTAAAGAAATGTCTAGCATATCATAAGTAAGCAATAAAAGCAATAAATGTGAGTTATTGAAAATGGTAATTACATAATATGTTGTTTCAGGTTCAGTTAGTCTTAACAAAATCCCTTTGAAGAAAGCTGCACTATGAAATAGTGTTTCTAACATTAAATATAGAATTCAAAGATGGAATAATGACTGTTGTCATGTCTATATTTATAGATTTCATTTTTATCATAATGGAACATACAAAACTCTCTGTTACATGATGCCATATATCATTCTAGAGAGAATGACTACATCTGCAAAATAAAATGAGGGAAGCAGGGATTAACAAATAATCTGAAAATTTCAACCCCAAAGCCCAGTTTTTTAATAAAGAAATTACATATATAAACATATGGAGCAAATTAAATGTATTTTTAAAGTACTTTGCCTTATGTAAATAACATTAGAAAAATTGTAGGATTGAAGTTTGTTTTACATTAAGTTGTTTCCTGGCTTTCTGTGTTTCAGGTTAAGTTTAGGTAGCACTATTATAATACAAATGATGCAAATCACTGTTAGTACTTTTTCTTACTATAATGAAATACCTGATGCTGGATAATTTATAAACAAAGGAGGTTATTTAGCACACAGTTTTGTAAGACTGAAAGTCCAAAAGATATAGTGCTGGCTTTGGTGAGGGCTCTCCTAACTGTGCCGCCACATAGCAGATGGCATCACACTGGCAAGAGCACAAGCAAAAGGAAGAGATCATATGGCCAGACAGAAAGCCAGAAAGGAAGATCCAGGCTTGATCTTTTTATAAAAACCTTCTCACAAAAACTAACAGTCCCAAGATAAGTACCTTGATCCCATCCAGGGTCAATATTCCAACAACTCCCCACTAGTCTGCATCTCTTGTAGATCACATCATCTTCACACTACCACACTAAGGACTAACTTTCCAACACATGAACCCTTGCAGAATAGACTCAAACCATATTCAAATTGTAGTGACCACTTTTCCAAATATGGAGCTAATTTTAAGAAAAAATAGAGGTAGATTATAGATTTGTGAAATTGACAAAAAATAAAACTATAAGAAAGGAAATATGAATTTCTGTTAAAAAGAGAATGAAAAATATTTAATTGACATATTGGTGCCTTGAACAGTTGACATTTGTTGTTGGTAGTCATTTCACCATACCTGGCTAAGATCAAGCACCTCTCATCCACTTCCCTAGTTGATCTCTTATGAAGTATACATTAAAAAATAGAATGAACTCCAAAACATACAGGCACCTACCAATTGGGAATCATCTTGATTTGGTACTAGATCAGGCCCTTAAGAATTTGTGTCATTTCTGAGAACTTTATTATTCTTAAGGGTAGCAAAAATTCAAAATAGAAGTTGTGTGTTATAAGTATTTAAAGATATAAAATGACATGGTTAAGAATTGAAAAAAAAATTAACATGTTGATATCAGAGAAAAAGGAGAAAAAGAAAAAGATCATTCAGCTATCAAGCAATGTGGAGACTTGCAAATTCTAAATATCTGATAGCTATAGTAACCATTTTTTGAATAAAATTCACAAAGAATATATATATATATAATTATGCCATAATGTACTGTCTTACCCTCAAATTTGTCATCATAAAAGCAGTATGGCAGATAACAGCAACTTCAACATCACATTAATGATAGTGTACTATACAAACATACTTGTTGATTATCAAACATAGTATATAGAAATAATTTTGAACAGTAGGCATAAGAATCAACTGAGGAAGAATAGAAGTACTTTGAATTAGACAAAGGGGAATGAGGGAAGGGAGGGGGAATGGGAATAGGAAAGATAGTAGAATGAATCAGACATTACTATCCTATGTGCATATATGATTACACAGTGTAATTCTACATCATGTACAACCAGAAGAATGAGAAGTTATATTCCATATATGTATAATATGTCAAAATATATTATGCTACCATGTATAACTAATAAAAACAAATAAAAATCTTAAAAAAGAAATGACTGAGGACTAGAACTACCTTCTTGTGGGATGTGTATTCTTCTATATTTAAATTTCTATTTTTTTGTGATAAAGCCAAGATTGATTTAATCTGACACAAGTTTATGTAAATGGTACTCTAAGAAGAATGATCTTGAGGAAAATTTTCAAGAAATATCTTAAATATTTTATCTAGTGTATCCAAGTTAATCAATCTTTATCAAAGGAATTGGTTTTTTAAATGAACAAGATTCTGTGAAACAGATGACTAAAGAACCAAATGTATCTTAACTATTGAATATTCCTTATGGTTAATGATTTGCTTAAAAATCTTATGTGGGAGAGAATGAGGGGGGAAAAGAGAATAAGTCATTTGGTTTGCTGTATATTTGTTTTGATTGGAGCATATTTTGTTAACTTGGAAAAAGTTTCCTACCGTGGCTATATAACTTAAACAACCTGATGAAAGTTAAGATTTTTTTCTTCATTGTCTATAAATGTTGTAAAAATGTACTTAACAGGTACTTAGCATCACAAAGAGAAAATATAAGATGATTAACCAAATATTTTACTTTCTAGTTTGATATTTACTATAATATTGTAGATGTAGCCAAATTGGCAGCTCTCTTAGTAATTTGAATGTGAACAAGAGTTTTGTAGAGAAAGAGTTTTTTTTTTTTTTTCAGAGAAAGAAAAGATACTTAATCGTTTTATGTATTTGCTTTTATTTGGTCATGCTTTGATGGCTAATTTCATCGTTTTAGAGAACAACAGGATGTTATTTGACTGTTATGATGCCTTATTATTGCATTTTGTTTAGGTGATGGCATTTTATGGACTGGTTTTGGGTTTGCTTTATGGGGCATTTCTAATGCTCCTTCAGAATAAAGTTGTTCTTTGGGCAGTTCCTCAATTTTTCCAAAGGTGGCATCTGAGATTTATCTAAACCAGGAGGTTTCTTGGTCCTCATTTTTCTTTAGCCCCAGCAATGACAAAGCGCAATGGCTGCTTCAATTGGATGTAAGAAGAACACTTAGGGTTTGTCTCAGAAGAATCAAAGATTTCAGATCTTCTGAAAGATTGTTTGTACTCTTAGGGGGTCTTAAGAGGGGTCAAATGGCTTCTA